CAGGTGCACTGTATTTTCCAGCGCAATATTGCACTCAGTCCGGAAAATGATAAAAGATACCTCATTCCTGGGACGTCTGAAACATTACCACGGGGCACTATATAATTAATTTAAATATTGATGTCAACTTTTTTTATTGATTTCACTATTATGACATTTAATATATAGGTATTTAATTCTAAAAGAGTCATTTAAAAAAAAGTTACCAAATGTCGGTAAAGCCAATAAATTAAAAAAGAGTAATTTTAAAAAGATGCCAACTTCCATCGGTAAACTAGTCACAAACTAGAGCCAATGAGGTACTAAATTGTTTACTTAATCACTTTATTTCAGACTGATTAGGCCTCTTGGGGAACCCACTATAAAATAAAACGCGCCATAGCTCTATCTCCTTATATTACAGTTGTAATATATAAGATGGTGTGAAAAGAACTATCCCTGATTAAATATCTTGATTTAATATATTTCAAAAAACAGATAAATAGTAAAAACAATTTTTTAACGATATTAAGTACCCTACTCATTTTATATTAAAGTGTTAAAAATATAAACTTTAAAATTTTTAGCATTCGAGTAATTCCTACGCCCCTCAGTAAGTTTTAGTACATTATTAGTTAATCTATTTTTTATTTATCATTTTTATTTTAGATTCAATGAAGCTACTACATAATTTTTTAATATTAAGAATCTGGTAGAGCTATCCCCCTAAAAATTACCCATAAACCTTAATCCTGTTTTTCCATTTCCTTTTATGGTGGACTAATGTTGCAACCTTCACGCTGGTGTCCGCTGTTAAAAAGGTATAGTTATTTTTAGAATTAAAATTATATTTTTCATTTAACTTTCTAGTGTAATGGAATTTTTATATAAATTTTTTTTCAAATATTTTTATTTTAAACCTAAACATTTTTTCAAGTATGTTAATTTAATACAAAATTAAGAAAAGCAGTAATATTGATATAAACTTTTATGTTTTTATCCTATCTTCATTTTAAATTATGAACACTATACTATACTAGAAACTGCAGAAATATGACATTCCCTGATATCTCTCCTCTTATCGTATTACTAAAGCTCGACCATTTCAAAGGGTGGGCATCGACTTCAGGGGACCTTTCCTCATTAAGGCTTCTACTTTAAAAAAGGCACTCATTCAAAAATGTTATATTTCTTTGTTTGTATGCATGGTTACTAAGGCTGTTCATTTGGAACTAGTTTCTGATCTTACCACCGAAGCTTTTTAGGCAGCATTAATTTGATTATTTGCCCGTCGAGGGTGCTCAACAGTCATTTACAGTGACAATGCCACACATTTTCAAGGAGCTAAAAATCAGCTCAGAGATCTTCACCAATTTTTAGTTAACAACAAAAATATGAGGTCAGTCCAGTCTTACCTTCTGGCCACTGAATCAGAGTGGAAGTTCATTCCTCCACATTCACCGTATTGGGGTGGGATGTGGGAATCTGCAATAAAAAGTGCAAAATACCATCTTGTTAGGCTTATGGGAAATTCCACTTTCACCTTTGAACAGCTATTAACTGTGTTCTCACAAACAGTAGGCCACTGTGCCGTTTATCAAACGATCCATCAGATCTCAATTCACTTATACCAGGACATTTTCTCATAGGCGCGCCTTTGATGGCCTTTCCAGAAAAAAATGTCTCTGATATTTCTTTCAACCTTCTCAAATTTTGGCAACAATGCTCACAGTTACAACAATACTTTTGGAATCGATGGAAAATCGATTACCTCAATAGGTGACAGAACAGGCCAAAATGGATGGAAACTACACCTAAATTTAAAGTCAACAATTTGGTATTGTTAAGGGAAGATGACACCCCTCCATTCAAGTGGCCTTTGGCTAGGATGTTCGAGTTGTTTCGTGGCAAGGATGGCAAATCACGTTCAGTGCGCATCTCTTTTTACTTAAATAATATGGGACTAAAACCAGAGAAGGAAGAATAGTGGAGTTTCTGTTACCGATGTATCAGGATCCTGGAATAATTTCTACAGGTAATAAATTAATATTTGTTTATATACATAGAACATTACCCAGGTAGCAGACTGACGACATTTTGACGATATTTTTTGGTAATTCTTGGTCATCCACGTCATGTTACCAAAAAATTAGGTGATTATGACGTCAATTCTTTAACGTCACAAATTTGACGTTAGTATGACGTCAATTAATTGTCACTATTATTTAATAGTTTATATTAAATGTGATTTCAATACATTTTATTTATGTAAAATAGTTTGACCTAAACAATTATTTTTTAAAACTGTTAGGTCTATTAACGTTTAAATCTGGCGCTTAAATGCATAAAGACTGATAACACCACGTGACACATGACTGCTTCTGTCTATGGTTATCGGTCTGTGAAGTATGGCTCGTGTGTGTTCGAGCCGTTCGAACAAGCACGAGAACGGTATCGCGTATCGCAGATTGTTGCATCGGCCATGTGTAATGGTGTATGCATCGTGGATCGTGGCCCGTGTGCATTCGGGATTGTTGTTAAAAGTTAAGAGGGTCAGTGACAAAAGTAATATCAGTATCAACCCAGCATAAGGTATTTATATATCTTTATTATCCTTATTCTTTGATGATTTTATATCTTTTACAATCATAGGATGTTTCCTAAAATGTTCCCAGGTTCGTGAAATAGTATAAAATGGCGGCACCGAAAAATCAATGTGCCAAACCAAAATTATAACGAACAAGTTGGCCACATTTGGAGCAGTTGGATTTATATAAATTAATGTGTTTTGCCAATAACATTTCATGTATTTAAACTTTTTTTCTTTTTAATTATAATTATTTCATTTTCTCAAATAAGTATAAAGAATAACGACAAAGGTGACATTAAAACAACGTCATAAACACGTCATATTTAGACGTGAAAAGGGCGTCTAAATATGACGTCATTTACGTAATTCTACCGTCATTATCACGTTAGTTTTCAGAGGACAAATGACGTCCTGTATAACGAAAATAAGATATCATAATGACGTCAGTCTGCTGCCTGGGTAATATCCTGTTTCTTCTAAATAAGAATAATTAAATGAATTAAAAAGTAGATTTCAGTTATTCGTCAATTTCCTTTTTTTTTAATTTTATGAAAATTTCGAGAAGTATTGATATCAAAAGCCACATGTTAGATAGCCATTTTGAGTGAAGTTAAAGTAAAATTGTCAAAATAGGCGATTAAGTATTGGTGGTTCCTAAACGTCTTATTTATGGCTTATTTTAGGCTTCATAAGACCATTATAAGCTATTAATAAGTCGTCTTAAAATCGTCTTATTTATGGCTTATTTTAAGCTCTACAGACCAATATAAGCCATTAATAAGACGTCTTAAAGACGTCGCTTTTCGTAACTTCAGACGTCTTAAAGACATCTTTCAGGAAATACCAGACGTCTTAACGACGTCTCGAATGTCTTATGCTAGACGTCCTAAAGACGTCTTTAAGACGACTTTGTGCTATCTGGGTTGAATATTTTTAATAAACATGTATATTTATATGTCTTATTTTTTGATCTATAATAATATTTTAGAAAAAAAGCTAGAATAGATTTCTGAAATATTACTAATTAATATTTCTAAAATATTTCAAATTTTTATTTTAGAAATATTACTGCGAAATATTATATTTAGAGGAGATTTTTACGTTTCAGGCACATTTCAGAAATGTTTCTGGGATGTTTCGTAATATTAATGCAACATTATAAATGTTTAAATGTAATATTTTTTAAATATTTCTGAAATGTGATGTATGGGATATGGTACTGCCATTTTTATTTTATAAATAAATATCAGTCATGTACTTAACATAATTCTAAACTGAAAGCCAATTTATTTCTTTTAACACAGTTGCAATACTCATCCTTCTGCTTAAGAGGTAAAGGGGCCAATTATTATTGGATAAATTGCTCAAACAAGTTTGTAAACCCTAATCAAAAGGCGATATAAAATGGTTTTAAAAATCAAGGCTTGTGAAAATCATCATATAGTTTAACCCAATTCCCCAGTCAACCAGGACACGTTACCTAATGTGTAATACACGTGGATATTAAGTTACTTTTTAGCGTAGTTTAAATTAACCCAAATACAACGTATAAGCAACGTTAGCATCTTCAATCAAATTTTACTAGATCACGTTACCTAATGTGAAATACACGTGGATAATGAGTTACATTTTAACGTAGTTAAAATTAACGCAAATATAACGTGTAAGGAACGTTTAGTAACTTCTGTCAAATTTTATTTTATTTAATATCGTCAATTCGAAGTTTAGTTTGATACAAAGCAAAACAGCACTATTTTGATTTTGTACCTGTAAATTTATTAATAGTTTAATATATAAATAATAGTTTATTATACCTATAACAAAGACAAAAATATTTTTGTTAATACATATGCCGTACAACATGTAAATAAATAAAGCTATTGATACTTGATTGGCAATTGACATTTGACATGATTTGTCATTTAGTCAAACAAAATGGCCTCCTTCCTCATTCTCCTTCTTGGTTGTTGAACGTTAAGTTATGGTGTCGTTTGCGTTGGCTGGTTTCAGTCGTTCCAATCTAGTGGTTATTCAATGTGTTCGACCTTTTTCCCTCCACTGGATTCTTCATTAATTAATTATATGGATTTCACTTATTTCTCGTTTTAGATAAGTGTAATATTTTTTTTTATCTACTTAAAATATTAACGAAAATCTTCGCCAACCAATCTGCAAAAAATATGATATGTGAAAGTGAATAGTAATAATGCCAAAACAAAAATTTCATTATTTCCATTAGTTCTGAATTTATGGGAAGCAGAAACCACTACGAAAACTGACACATTTTTGTCTCTAACAAAATAGTTTTTAACCGGCATTTTTTTTTAATTAACCCTATTAAAAATACTTATCTTGTTTAATACACATTTTATAGATATAAAATACTTCTTTTTTTCTTCTATACTACCTATAGGCATGTATTTTGTAATAGAATTTAAACACGAAGCAGATGGAGGTGGACTCTCTATAGTCAATACAGCTTGGTTGACTCCTAGAAAGACTGAAGTGTATTGGCCTCCTATAAAAGACAACCTTCAGTTCAACAAGGTACTTAGGAAAATAGAACCAGAAGTTAATGAAAACTGGCAAATTTATGGGGTTCATAAAATTTTTTATTCTACAGGTATAATGATAATAATCAAGCTTTTTAAAACATTATGTGCCATAAATAGTTTTAGCAAATACAAAAATATGAGACAAAAATTTAATTCTCACGTGTCAGTTGTTCTTGCTTGTAGTAGTATGAGTTAAAATAACACTAAAATAAGTTAATTTTATCCCATACTAACCCGTCCTAAATTTTTGCTGTACATTTTTAGATGATTTTCAAAAGGCTACAAAAAAAAACTAAAAAGAGCTGAAATTACATCTGACATGCAAACAGCTCTGAAGGATCATGCTGATATCAGACCTAGAAGAAAAATCATAAAAAGAAAATTTGGTTCCGATGAGAGTGACAGTGACAAACAGGCTCGGGCGAGGTTTTATTATCTAAGGTAGACAAAAAGTTGAAGCAACATTTACCACGGCCTCCATCTGTGAACATTAATGTCGGGGGGCGAAGATCTGCTTCAGTTTTCTGCTTGTAGACCTCTAACCTCCGTCGTGTATTTACCCAAAGCAGTAGACTTGCTTGAAGTATTCGTGGAAATTACACTCAAATTTTCTGATATTTGGTTTTATTCACGGCTATTTATGTACAATATTTACATGTGTTTAACTTATATATGTAGTAACAATGATGATAATATTAGCAAGGCATTAACAAGTTTAAGTTTCTTTTCACGCGGTACTTAGTAAATTAGTATGAATGATTTTTGCCCCAGCTCGTAGCATGGTAACAGTGTAGAACGAATGAATGCAATGCAATGCCATAATTTCTGGGATATGCCGGTTTTATACCCGACTGTTGCTAAGCGCCTATCGCATTTATGGAGGGGTTGAACTGACCGTGTCTCACACCGATGTCGGTTTTACCAATGAGCGCAAGAGAGCTATTTTTTAAAGTTTTTAGTTTGCTGTCTCTTTCTCTGTATATGTGAAGACATGCTTTTCGTCTAAGACTGTTTCGTAATTTCTAAAAATAGATTGTGAGCTTTGTTTACAGGGGCGGCGTTCAGATTAGTTGATTATAAAATGTTTTAAATAAATTGGATAATATTGATTATTTTTATTATAGGGTGAATTGGTATTGCGGAAATGAGCTTCATTTATTCCCCTATACAGGGTGATGCTTTAACCTGTTCGAACACCTTTCGCTGTAATTTTACAGTAATAGTTTTTGCAATTTTAGTGTGATATTTAGGTTATTATGGTTATTCATTTTATTTGGTTCTGATCTTTTGCGCTTTTAGAGTAATTGTCTTTTATATAGTTTTTAATTTGAATTTTAATATTGTGGTCTATTTATATTTGATTGCTGCTTTTCGACTAGTGCTTTATTCTTTTTGTGTTAAAATAAGCTTTATAACCATTAAGTACATGCTTCTAGTTGATATCTACCTAATCGTCATCAGGTGCTTGCAACAATGGAAAAAAGTGTATGGTTTTTTTGGTGTAAAGTTAGACGCCTTCATTTTTCGGGTAAGTTATTTTTAGTTATTTTTTACTTAAAAGGATAGCAATACGTCCTGGTTCGGGGTGTGACTTTTGGGTTTTAGCTATCTGAGCCAAATTGTCGGCTAAGTGTCCTCTTTTAGGGCACCCAGAACCGAAAACTATATAGGTATATAATATGTTTTTTTTTTAAATTATTTTTTAATATGTATGCAGCTTGGATGAGGGCTTTAGGAAGAGATCCTAAGACTGAACAATGACTGCTATAAATACCGTTTTTAGAGCACATTTCATAGTAAGTGATTTCATTCTAGCAGCAATGAGGAAACGTTTAAAAAACATGCTGTACCAGCTATTACTTTAAGACCTTGTCTCTTTAAGTTATTATTACTTCATTCTAATGCATATATTAAAATGGTTTTTAACTTATGTCCTTATTATTAAAAGATGTAGGTATTTTAGTTATGTTATAATAGAAATATATGATACTTTGTATTGACTGACCTACTGGCCACTGGTCTTTCCACTTTTACTCCCTTTTTTCATCAATTATCAAATTATTTAAAATCAAATACATACCTAGCTATTTTCTGTAAATTACATTAAAATTTTAGTATTAATACTTTACTAATAAAACTTTAGTTAATTTATCTTATATATATATATATATATATATATATATATATATATATATATATATATATTTACTTTAGCGCTTACACATTCCCATTTTGCTACATACTACCGACGTTTTCATTCCAAAACCTACGTTGTCAGTCCCACTTTCGGGCATGACAACGTTTTCCATGCTAGATGGGCTAGAGGGGGTCTATAGATCACAGGGATGAAATATTAGCTGGGCCTGAAAAGTCGCAAAAATGGTCATTTTTATACGGATTTAGTTCCGGGACCAAACGGCTAGGTGGCGCTCGAGTTAGAAGTGTATATCGTATATATTTCGTTCCATTTTTACAACGATTACAGGCCCGAAACTTGGCAACAGCGCGGTGGTTTCATGGAAACAGTTATTATGAAACAAGGCAAATATAAGAAATAAGCCGTGATGGGAAGGTTTAAATTCAATACGTATTTTCGTAATAATGTGTAGTGTTGGTAGCGAAGATCTTAGCGGTATACGTTTGGTATTTTTTGGATTCGGGTGTTCTGTTTGTTCGAATTCCAGGGCCAGAGTTTTTCTAATTATTATTCGTGTGATGTTTGGTGTAACAATATCAGTATAGTATTTCGTTTAAAAATAATTAATTGGATTATTTTAAAGAAAAACACTATTGTTTAAGTTATCTATTCATGATATTTAAAAAAATACATATACATATGCAAGTAAGAATTATTTTGTTAAATAACTCAAAAACATGGAATTTAGAAAGTATCGCTCAATCAGTGGCGTACAAAATTGACGTTTGACTTTTTCAGGTTTTATGAATTTATGAGAGCTAATAAATATACAGTATGTCTGAAAAAGTTGGCAACATATGAGAAACTTTTTTTTTGTGTTGTTACGAAAAAAAGTTATTCTTTATAAAAATTTCTGCATGGCCCGTAAAGTAAAACGCAAATGTCAGATGTCAATTTTTTAAACCGTATACGAGGTTTGTCAAAAAATATAATTTTGAACAAGAGTAAAGTACCTTTATTTTATACAATATCGAAAACTTTAATATGTATTATTTATTTCTCGAAAGCTTTTACTAGGCTGACTTTAGATAAGAGAAATGTCAGTCAGAACCGCCTAAATTTTAAATTATTTCGTTTATTTTTGTGTATTACATTAGAAAATACATTATTTTGTTGGGTATTACTTATTTATCACTGATTTAAGTTAATTGCTAAAATATTGCAAATCAGCAAATAAACATTTAAGATGTGTTGAATTGTTAAATAAGATAAAAGTTGACGTGTTTTACAACTAAAATTTGCAAAATTTAAGTTGAAATTGAAGTTGTCAAAACATTTCTATTAATCTTTTGCAATGTCAAATGTAAATACCTTGTTACGGGTTAATTGTAAAAATTTAATTAATTTAAATTTGAATATCTTTTCTGGGCATAATTTAAAATAAATAGTAAATTTACCTGTTTTCCAATAAGCTGACACAAAATAAATAAAGGCAAAGTAAAACTATTAACTTTATTCGGGATATTCTTCTAGTACAATGTATAACAAATTTATTTCAATTATTCTACTTCCATCATAATTCTTCTTAGTTCGCTAATAGGGTCTTTTATATCTTCTTGACTTTCCTGAAAGAAAAAAATAAATATTAAACCCTGAATAAATTAATAACAATAACATAACCTTTAGAATCTCAAAGGTTTAAACTTCAATGATTATCCTTTTCTTCTCATACATAAAAATTGTCAATTAGGAAACTAAAACTTGTCAGGTAAACCTACAACCAGATCTTTTCTATAGTCTTACCTCTAGACTAATAAGACCGGCTAAAGTCAATAACAAAAAAAAAGGAACTTTTTTTGAAAAGCTTTCTTTTTAGAACGCACATTTTGGTTCGTGAAGAACGTGCTCGCATTATTGCGGATTTTTACATAAATCTAGAATAAATTTAGTGAATATTTCAATATTTACGAAAACTAGTAAATATGACATCACTGTAGATATAATTTTCATAAATATTCTTAGATTTAGAATTTAAAATACTTCGACTTTATCGAAGCCACTTGGATGCCTCACGCCACGCCAAGGTGAGTCTTATAGAAATAACTTATTCAAAATATTCTATTTAAAATTTACTCTGGTAGTTAAAATGTAAAATATTATTTTAGGTCTCTTTTCTAAAGTTATCGTGTAATAACTTACCTTATCGTATCGCATCAGATTGTCTTGTTCTCCAATCTTTATTCACCCTCTTAATTCATCTTTGGGCTCGAAGAAACCCTCAGGAATATTCCTGAGTAGGTACAGGTTACGTATATCCAATAGAGGCTGACATCACTAGGCTAAGAAGCAGTGAATGCACTTTTGAGGAAATCCTGAATCTCCGAAGTCCACTGGAACGCAGCTTAGTAGTAGCAATACAAGATATACCACTTTATTATTGATTTTCATATATTTTTCGTACTCATAACCATAGCCCATAATGCTTAGAGAAAACTAAGATTGTTCTTTTTATTAAATAGGAAGTAGTCTTCAATAACCTACAAAATATATATAATCCATATAAAACTTATAGATTTGCTATCTAAATTATTAACTGGCTTTTTAAATATAATATAGGTTTACTTACTTTGTATGGCCCAAAAGATTAGTTGTGAATCTTCACGTATAGTATGCATACCACACAGAAGACCGGGGCTTGATTTTATTGTAAACAATATATTATTCTATAATATTAATTGTAAATATCTTATAAACAACAAACTCCATCTATTTGCTACAGATAATAAAATACTGTAGAGAGACAACCCTCTTGTTTAATTAAAAATATAAATTTGAGTGCCAGAACCACTTCACAGAAAACCCTGGAATCGGGAGATAATTTAACCAACAAGGTTAAATCCCCCTTTTAAAGTAACAACCTGAATATTATTA